TGAGCTGACACAGTCCCAGTTCCTGGTCCACATGCACATCCCTTTCCTGGAGACATACACACCTAAACATACAAACAGACACACCGACCACGGGGCACCCCATGGCCAGACTCACAAACACCGGATAGTTCGACACATGTGTAGCCCATTGCTGGATACAGGGGTACCCCAACCTCAGATATCCAGACACTTTCATACCCCCCACCCAGACATCCAGGCACCTGGACAGCCCACAGCTGGACACAACACAAACACCCTCCTGCACTTGGACACCCACTAGTCTGAGGACTCCCAGACACCTGGATACACCCACCTCCGGTTACAGAGACGCTAGGATATCCTGATGTTGGCACACCCTGATCCTCCACATCCTGGCACGGGGAGACCCACACTTACATACTGAAACACAACCCACCCAAATAGCTCTGCACCCAAACTCCAAGAATTTAACCTTTAGATACCCGGATACCCTAGCATCAGGCTCCCCCAGGACCAAAGCAGCTGGTCGCCTCCCTACTCCACACTCAGAGCCTGCCACACAGAGTAACCAGATGGCTAGATGCCCTGACAGGCCACACATGTCCTGTGCCCTGGGCGACAATCATACAACCACAATCATACACACACACACACACACACACACACACACACACACACACACACACACACACACACACACACACACACACACACACACACACACACACACACCCTCCCCACTCTGACTGTCCAGATGCCAGAATCGCACCTGCACACACCTCAGCAGGCCTCACCCCACCTGCAGGGGTCACCACGGGGAGCAGCTCTCCTCGCCTCCCTCAGGCTCACAAGGAGCCAGGACAGAAGCTGAGACCTGAGGAAGAGCCTCCCCTTCCTGAGGCAGGACCCTCCCCCTTCTTCCCCAGACAGTCTCACTGACGGTTGGGACTCAATGCCTCTCACCAACTGCCAGGCCTCCAGCACAAAGGCCTGTCCACTGACAGGCCTGGACAGCTGCTGGGGGTGGGGTTGGAGGGAGGTCGGGGGCAATGTGGGAAACTTGGAGGAGGGGCTGGCAGGCAGAGACCTGCTCCCTTCCTCTCTCCCAGGGACTTAAGCTCCTCAACTCACAACTCCCAGATGGCACTCTCTACCTGGCCTTTTCACACACAATATCATCCCCCAACAGAATTTTCTAGATTCCTGGAGGGAAACCTAGTTCGTTAATCTCTACTTTCAGTGGAATCACTGCGCCCCCATCTGGCACCTCCAGCTCAGAATTTGACCCACTGGACTTCATTCATTCTTTTACGCCATATATATTTTACTCAGCACGAGTAGCCAGGCCTTGTGCCTGGCACTAAGGATTCAGAGGTGAACTAAATTCACAGAGCTCATGGTCTGAAACGGAGAATGGACCAATAAGCAATAATCACAATAATTACTAATGGTATGGAAAAACCCAATCAATCCCCACCTTCCCTTCCTAGAACAGGGATAACCAAGGAAGACTTCAGGGGCGATGTGATGTCTAAGCAGAGGCCTGAAGAAGGAGCAGGAGTTCACCAAGTAAAGAGATGGAGTTAGAAAGTACAAAGGCCCAGAGAGGAGAGGGAGGGAAAGGACATGTAGGGGATACTGATAAGTGGGTCAGACTGGCCAGAGCATAGGGCGGAGCAACAAGGGGTACAAAATGAGATGAGGCTGGACAGGCAAGCAGGGTTAGAGCAGGCAGTGAGGCCAAGGGAAAGGGACTTCACCCTGAAGGCAATGGCGAGCCTTCAGGTGGTTTCAAACCGAGGTTCCAAACATGCAGTTTTCATTGTAGGGAGATAGATCCCTGGCACCATGGAGGGAGGGGTAGAGGGAAGAGACTGGAGCCTTTTTGCAGTTGAGAGATGGCTGAGGATGGAGAAGAGGGGACAGGTGAGAAAGATCCTGACAGTGGGTAAGGGTAGGGTGCATCAGGATACAGGAAGAGGGCTTGGAGGAAAGAAGGAGGCCGAGGGAGGAAGGGGCACAAGGTAACCCCTGCAAATCTAGCTTAGCTGGCGAAGGCATGGAAGGATTTCATGCCTGGAGCAAGCAGGGTGCCCACCCTGGATTTTCCCTGACACCTGAGCAGGGCAGGAGGCTGCCCATGAGCTCAGCACCCCCCCCCCACTCTGACCACGCTGGGCTTCCTGCCGAATCCCCTCCCCCAGGCCCAGGGACAAGGACCAGCTGCCCAGACAAGATTTTATTGCCCAACCTGAAACCACTGGGCAGTCTCTCCCTCATTCCTGCTGTCCACAACCCTAGCAACCAAAAGGACAAAATGAGCTAGCACGCAGAGGAATAAATTACTGCCAGATTTACATGGCGGAGAGACATCACACACCCAGCCTTAGGAGGGGAGGAATCAGGAGGCATTCAGGCAGTGGGGTTGAGACTGTACATAGATTGGGGGCCAGGGCTGATCTCACGCCTTCTACTAAGAGCTTCTGAATGAAGCTCTGACAGTAAGTAATACCTACAAGGGTGCCAGGATCGTAAGAAGTGAAGTGACCTGCCCAAGGTCACAAAAAAACAGCAAGTGGTGGAGGCAGAACTTGAACGATGCCCCTGAGCTTCCATTCACAGCCGCTGGGACTCTGTAACAGTTCTCAAAACCATCTTTTGTTCCCTGGCATTCACAGACAGAGCCTTACTTTACAATTTTCAAGTTCCATTATTATGATGCCCATGAGGCATAGGAGGAAACTGAGGCCTGAAGAATGGAAGTCATTTGCTCAAGGTCTCACTCCCAAAACTTCAATTCTTGACAATCCTCCAGGATTGTCAGCAGGACAATGCCAGCAGGAATTGGGGCACCTGAGGATTCTTGGAATCAAGGTATTGCACCCCTTGGGTTTAATCTCAGGGCAGGGGAGGGGGACAAAGTTGCTGCGGCCCATGGAGGCGGGAGGGGGGAGGATAGAGAGGGAGGTCTCCAAGGCGAGGTCAAAGCTAACGCTGTGCCAGGCACCCGGGCCTCAGGGCTAGTTCCCAGGTCTGAGCCTGAGGCAGGAGGGTCCGTGGAAGCCGGAGAGCTGCGTTCGAAAGGCCTGAGAGGACAGCGAGACCGTGAACTCGATCCCGGGGAAGCCTGTTCTCGGAGCCGGGGGCCGGGAGTAGTCTCCCTCGGGACCAGCGACCAGCGCAGAGGCGGCTCAGCACGTGTTGATCCGGCACCGCGCTGACCCCTGCTCTGGCGTCTCCCTGTC